GTATCGAAGGCTTTTTGGAGATTGATAAAGATTCCTATTACAAATTTATTATTATCTATACCATTCGTTATATCTTCAATTAAGTCAATTAAGGCAAGTGATGTTGATCGTCTATTTCTAAAGCCGTATTGGTCATCGGATAGTAAATTAAAATGACAGATAAAGTTGCGAAGTCTATTATCATATAGTTTTTCTAATATTTTGGAAAACTGTGGCAGGAGGGAGATGGGCCTATAGTTGTTAAAGCAGTGTTTGTTTCCAGTTTTGTATATTGGGATGACTTTTGCTTTTTTCATTTGTGATGGAAAGTGACCGAGCTGAAAAGATAAGTTACAGATGAAAGTGAGTGGTTTAATGATTTCATTTGCTATATTCCTTACAGTTCTCATGTCTATATCGTCAATATCTAATGATGTCTTACTTTTACACTTTCTGATGATGCTGAGGACTTCCTCCTCATCCGTGGGAGAAAGGAACATCGAACTTTGGTTTACTTCAGTTAGATGATTCGCCCGATCACTGTCAGATGGGATTTTTTTTGCAAGTTCAGGGCCCATGCTGACAAAGAAATCATTAAAACACTCTGCAATCATCCTTTTATCACTGATGATGGTGTCCTTCTCCACAAAATACTCTGGGTAGTGCAGGCTAGAGCTTCGACCAATCACGGTGTTTAATATTTTCCAAATCTCTTTGATATCATTTTTTTTATTAATTAGTAAATTTGTGTAATAGTCTTTTTTGCTTGTCCTTAGTATACTGGTTAACTTATTTTTGTATTTTTTGTACCTCAGTTCATTTTCTATAGTTCTAACTCTAAAAAATTTCCTATATAGATAATTTTTCTTTTTGCAAGCATTTGCAAGCCCTTTTGTCACCCAGGGGGTATTGGTGTAGTCTTTTTTCTTTGAATATTTGATGGGACAATTTTTATCATAGAGGGAAGTGAATATGTGGAGAAAGGAGTTGTAAGCTGTGTCTACATCTGTTGTTTGGTAAATGGATTCCCAATTTTGAGTTGCTAGATCATGTTGTAGAGCCAATATTGAGTGTTCAGAGATGTTTCTACAGTAATGTACATTTTGAGCAGATGAGGTTACTTTACAGTTTAAGTCATATATCATGAAAACGGGTAAATGGTCAGTGATGTCATTAATGAAGATGCCACCGGTTGTGTTATTGTCCAAAATATTGCAAAAGATATTGTCGATCAAAGTAGCGCTGTGTGATGTTATTCTGGTGGGTCTGGTGATGAGTGGATATAAACCAGTAGAAAACATAGTGTCCAAAAATTCCTCTGTTAATTTATGTTTATTGGGATTTAGTAAATCAATATTATAATCTCCACATATGATAATGTGTTTGGTTTTATTAATAAATAGTTTTTCCATCCATTCAGTGAAACACTTTAAATCGGCACCAGGAGCCCTGTAGACACAGCTTACAATAATTGATCTTTTTTTTGGGATTGCCAGTTCCACCGTCACACATTCAAAGAGTTCCTCAATGGCTAAAGACATATTTTCAATAATTGAACAATTTATATTTTCATCTACATACAAGGCTACACCCCCTCCACGCTTGTGTTGTCTGTTTGTGCAAAACATCTCATATCCATTTATTTCAAAATCATTGCCAATATCATCATTAATCCATGTCTCAGAGAAAGCTATTATGTCAAAAGGGGATTTTAAATGCTTTAAAAAGTCCTGGATGCACTCAGCATTTGAAAGTAAACTCCTGATGTTAAAATGAACTAAAGACAATTTGTTGTCTAGTGTGATTTCTCTGTTGAATTTAGCTTCAGTGTAATATAAGCAATCAGTGAGATGAAGCATATGGCTATCCGGATCAATTACATTCAATATATATATATATATATATATATATATATCTTTTATTTGTCCCATAGTGGGGAAATTGCAAATATTGATGTTAGGATTGTCTATGAAGTACTCTCTGATAACTGATTATTGTACTAGAATAGCAGGACTCTCTCTTCTGAGAATGCACATGAGATACCATGTTTTCTTTAGGAGACTCCGAGTTACGTCTGATCAGATTATCTCCGTGAATCACCAGGATTGTGCTCCATATTCTCGGGTGCCAGGTAAACATCAGTGAGTGCCAGGTAAATGTCAGTCAGTAACTCACTGTCTCTGGACCCTGTGGATGCAGGTGTTAAGTCGCTCTGATTGAGTCCCATTTGACCTCGTGGCCACTGATACTGTGTCTGTGACTTATTCAACAAGTCTCCGTCTCACTCCTACCACAGGATGATCCAACACTTCCTTGGATTAAAAGGCTGTTAAGATGTTTGCATAACAGATTTCACAACGAATCTGGGAAATACAGGTGACAATCTGTTTCACCTTTATGTTTCCCATGTTTGTAAGAATTAAGCAGCAGATAGGAGTGCGACTTCAGGACAGGGATCAAAATCAAAAGCACAAACCAGAAAGTTTCCAAAATAGTAATATATGTGTTTTGGAGGACATAAAGAAAATTTCAAAACTATAAAAACTATAAAAAGGTGATTCAAAAGGACATTTACATATATTTCTGTATTCTTACTAAATCCTCCATTCATCAATTTTCTTCCGCTTCATCCGTTGCGGAGGCAGCAGAGACGCCCAGACTTCCCTATCCACACACACTTCCTCCAGCTCGTCCGGGGGGACCCCAAGGCGCTCCCAGGCCAACTGAGAGACATAGTCCCTCTAGCATGTCCTGGGTCTTCCCCGGGGCCTCCTCCCGGTGGGACGTGCCCGGAACACCTCCCCAGGGAGGCGTCTAGGAGGCACCGGGAACAGATGGCCGAGCCCCCTCAACTGGTTCCTCTCGACGTGGAGAAGCAGCGGCTCTACTCCGAGCTCCTCCCGTGTAACTAAGCTCCTCCCCCTATCTCTAAGGGAGCGCCCAGCCACTCTGCGGAGGAAACTCATTTCGACCGCTTGTATATAATCTTCATAATCTTAGTTCATTAAACTGGTGACACTGGGGACTTTTCCAAATGTATTCCAATGTGGTTTTACTGCAAATGGAAAATAAAATTAATCTGAATTTTATAATATCCAAAATTGGATCTTATTGGAAATTGAGTTTTTGATTTCTCTTTTCATCAATCAATCCACTGTTTTAATTGACCTCAGCAAGAAGGTTCTAGGTTTGAATCCCGTTCAGAACAGGGCCTTTCTGAGTGGAGTTTTCATGTACTCCCTGTGTCTGCGTAGGTTTCCTCCAGGTACTCCGGTTTCCCCAACCACTAAAAACATGTACCTTACAGTCTCCACTCGCAGCTGCAGCTTATCATTGTATTTTTTTCCCTTTTCATTATTGAGACCAAAAGTTTTTTATAACATTACATTTAGTTCCTATGAGTGTGATGATGCAGGTCAAACACATGGTTCTTTCTGAAACAAAGATGTGAGAGAGACCAAAACTAGGGTTATAACCAAACTAATTTAGCCTAAAAAGTGAAATAGTAGAAGTATGCAAACAATTTTTTCCTGTTATTTGATCATAACACTCGTTCATAATACTTTACTTTTGCAATAATCTTTCTGTTGGAAAATAAAATATTCAATATCTTTGGAATTACTCAATGTTCTGCATAAATTGGTGATATGATACTGTGACCAATGTTTAACAAAATCAAACGTAGGTTTCCTCCAGGTGCTCCTGTTTCCCTGACCACTAAAAATATGTACAATCGGTCTGAATAGGAGGTTTTGATGCGCCAGTGTGTTCGTCATCAATGTGTGTGGAGTGAATGGAAAAATATCTGAAACCAATGGAAAGTGATTTATGGTCTGTGAAATGGGCTATATAAATAAACAGTAGGTACTTCCAAAGCTCGTATACTTTTTACTGTCACTGTTTATTGTGACCTGATTAATGTGATTACCAATTAACCTAATAATCTTGTCCTCTGTCACAGAGACAAATGACCAGTGATAAAAGGTGCTGGGCCTAATGTTTTAAACCCTTCCTCTAAATCAGTGTTTCCCAACCTGTGGTACGGGGACCGCTTAGTACAATCAAGCGCTTCCAGTGGAAATGATTTAATACATATCATATAAAATCCAGACTCTGAAGACTATTGCTGCAACAACAACAAAAACAATGCAATGTACTATTTGATTAATGGGGCCCTTGGGTAGAAACTCTGGGAATAAGGATGAGACAATAACCAGTATTAAAACTTAGGTATTTAGTTTTTTCTTCATAAATAACATGTTTGATTTGTCCTAATAGAAACAGGCTTGTGAAAGTAAAATTTTGTGAACTAATCAGACCACAACATGCTGTCATTTTCAAATTAGTTAATGTTATTGTTTACATGCTTGTGCGAAAGAGCACTGTGAGTCACTGTGTGGTTCTCTGTTTTTCCCTTTTCAGCCGGAAAAAGTTGATCCAAAGATATGACAGAGGTAGGGACTTTGTAGGGACTCTGAGGAGCACAGGGACTGGCCTCCTGTAGGGACTCTGAGGAGTACCATTACATTGCAATTCTACCATTGCGTGAAAAGCTCTTCTGGAGACGGACATTGCAAATTAGCCTGGACTATAAATATTGTCATGTTTCACATGTTGACTGTGTACACTTGTCCCTATCAAAAAAAACCAATAAATAAAATAAATACACTTAAAACAGTAGGAGAAACCATAACTTAATCAAACACTTGACTTAATCACTAGTCGTCAACAATAGGACAAACCAGACTTTATCATAGACTAAAACACTAGGAGAAACCATAGACTGAACCAGAGACTTAACAATAGACATAACAATAGACATAACAATAGACATACAGTAACAATAGACTTAACAATAGAAGTAAACAATAGGAAAGAACATAGACTTAAGCATACACTTACGCACTAGGAGAAACCAGAGAGGTAAACAATAGGAGACCATGGACTTCATCAGACACTTTAACCATAGGAAAAACCAAAGGAAAGACCAAAGACCATAGACCGTAGGTAAACAAACTTACCTTCCACCTCCTCTTCGTCACACATGTGTTTGAGCAGCGAGGCGCCCCGGTCCAGCACCGCCTCGTCCTCCATCCTGTAATAGTAGAAAAGGAAGAAGGACTGCTCACACTTCTCCTCCAACGACAGCATGGAGCCATAACGCTTGTAAGGTTCGTTCACACGCAACAGATTCGGACTCGGGCTACTCATCCTCTACACGCACACACACACAACTCAATACAAAAATGAAAAATAAGCAAAATGAAACGTCTATGGAGGCTTGAGAGACGGAGGCGTGTGTTGTCTTTGCAGTGGGCAGCCGGTGCGTGGGGCTAATGTGGGTAATCTTCTGGAGTAGGAGGGACAGGAAGTCTTTGCTTAATTGATTTTGATGCAGTTGTGATAGGTAACCGGGTCAAACGTGGCAGTATTTCGCATCCAAGACATTTCACCCCCAAGAGGATTTCAACTTATTTTTTTGTTTTTGTGTGTTCTGCTAGACTGGGATTCTTGTGTTTAATTGTGCGAATGGGGATCCAAAAGCATGTCCAGCTGGTCTCACCTCACCCCCCTTTGTGGAGAAGTGGGACCGTCACATGTCTTGTCTACTCATCCGCCCTTACAGGATTAGGCCAGCTTTACCTAAGTGTCAACAGACGCACACACACCGTAACAAGCAAGACGCCGCCCCCAAACGCACGCACGCACACACACACACACACACACACACACACACAGACAGCGCCGGAGGAAAAGGTGGGATATGTTTGACTGGTTACAAAGTGTAGAAAGTTTGAGTTTGGGACAAGATCATTGGGTGATTCGTATCTCCAGGGGGCAACTTCGAGATATCGTCATATTGTGGAGGGCCAGAACTGCTTTCACAAGGTTACCATTTAATTAAATTATTATTACTATCATTACTGGTTATGATCCATGACATTTAAGGATATTTAAGGACATTTATTAACATCCTGCTCCCTATGGACCAATGGCTCCTACTGTATGTGTTTGTCAATAGTGAATTTCCCGTTTTGATTCTCTGATTCTCCAGAAATTAGCCAAAACATATTTGCTATTTTCTGTGAAAGCTACTTTTTTGAATATTTAAAGGGAATGAGAGGGAAACATGAAGCCAAAAGATCCTTTTTGTTTTTAGCTCATTTTTAGTGGCTATTGTTTTGTTTTCATGTTTTTACATTATGAAAGTATTCTTAGAAAATGTATATTTTATTGATGATGGGTTTCGATATATTCCGAGTCTAGATAGCCTCAGAATCCCCCCGGATCCCTCCCTCTGGTTTCTTATATTTTTTAACCACTGGTTTTGATCACATTTGTGACATTCATCATTATTTATCACAATGTTTTTCTGAGGTAATCTACTGTAATGTCCATCAACATTTGTATAACATTAAAGGTTGGGTACCTAAGTATTTTCAACCCAAATATAATACATTTTTGTTTGTGTCAGCAGAAAGAGTTTTCATTTGTAGACAAATTAGACCATGTTATGTTGTCTGCATCATAGAAAACATTTAATCTTGTATCTATTGTAAGAATGAACCCTGTGAGTCAGTATTTGACGCTTTGAGCTGAAAGCGGGAAGGAGCGAAAGAGTGAAAATATAAAACTAAATTGTTTTGTGAGCAAGAAACTAGTGAGATGAACTGCATTACAAAGTTAAGTGCCCTAGCTTTAAATGAGCCAGAAATGCCGTAAAGACCAGGCGTGCCCAAATAATTTAAACCTGAAGTGGCAAAAATGAACACATAAGAGCCAGCTGTGGCCAGAACTGGAAAAAAACATTTCTTCCTCTTCATTTACAAGATATTCATGACTAAAGTCTTTCAGAATGATTTTCTATTTGGGGGAAATGACTGGAATGTGTTCTTTCATCTCCTGGCTGTTCTTTCTTCACTGCAGAATTCAATCATAACCGTCTTGGAAACGTCGGCATCACTGCACTGGCTGAAGCATCCCCCCTGGAGAGCCACGTCTGCCCTGTGGCCTCAGCTCCTCTGGTCTAGACATGAACTGAATCATTTCATATGTACGTACAGAGAACCACCACTGCACTGGTCTAATGGTGCATCCAGTTAGGGTTGGATATTTAAGGATATTTATTACATTTATTCACTTTTATAGACACTGGTCATCCCAATGGCTCCTATAAGTGTCTTATTATTGCATTTCCTGTGTTCCAACTGTTTAACAACTTTGTCTTTTGAGACGACTGCTGTTGTGATTTAGGGCTTAGGGCATGAGGTGATTTACAAACATATATTGAATCGATTGAGCTTCATTGCAACCCCCAAATTAGAAAAACTATTGAAAACACGGCCACACTCCATCCTGCTGTACAAGTCACCGCTCTGTGACACATTAATCTAAACAGATTTATATTCTCACAGTATTATATTATCTTGTTATTATTAGTATTTTCAGATTATTACTGTAATGTCATTTTTATTTTTTATAGCGAAATGATATGCGAGCTACTGTGACAGTGCAATTTCTCCTGTGGATCAATAAAGTCTGTCTAAGTTTAAAACATGTCTTTTTTCCCTGTCAATCAATTAAAACAGTGCCTTCCAAACGTTATTGCCCTGTGTACCCCCTCGGCAGTGCGAATGGGGCTTGAGTACCCCCTGCTGTTAACTGTATTTCACTCACTTGGTTGGGGGCCTCAATTGTTGGGAAAGTTTTCAGTTTCAGTGCAAAGTAGATATATATTAAAAAAATATATATATATTAAATTTAAAACTTTAAGCTGCCCCACTGTGGCACCTACAGGTCTCCCCTCACAGTCCTGACACAATTCACTTTAGTTCTGCTGTTATTATAGAATCATCTCAGACATAAAACCTCTTCTGAGCATGTTTCAGTCTGTGTAAGGTTCAAATGATTAACGACTACTAAACATTTACATTAACCGCTCGTTATGGACCAATGTCTCTATGTGTTTTTATCATTGAATTCCCTGGGTTTTAACTGTTTGATTCTCTGATCTGTGTTGGCGAATCGACAACATTTCAAAGTCCTCGGAGATAACTACAATCGTGATTTAGGGCTATAGAAAAAAACTGTAATTGAATTGAATTAACTTGTCACAGCCCTATTTTAAACCTATAATTACTATTCTAATCAGCTGTCATCCCATCACAGTGAGTCAAAAGTCATAGAAATAGATAATACAAACTTTACACACACTTGAAGAATCATCTAATAAACATTGTGTTACATTCCAGCGAACGAAAGCCGCAGTACAGAGGAAACTGTTATTGCAGCGTTTTGCTCCATTCTTGACCAGAGTGTGCTTCTGTGCACACAAACAGGGAGGACAAACAGCACCCAGAGGGACGTGGAGAGCTCCCGCCAGAGTTCATCCCGGATTCAACTTACACCCAAGGACAGTTCCGAGCACGTATACCCAGGACACATCCACAAAACCCTGGATAACACACCAGTGATCAGAAAAATAGTTGTGATAAAAAGAACATTGGGAGATTTTGTGAGGAACTTCCCGATTGCCTTCATTGCCACCTATGGAATAATGGCAGTAATGACAGGCGTGCAGTGCCTTCCGAAAGTATTCGCCCCCCTTGAACCTTTCAACATTTCGCCACATTTCAGGCTTCAACCATAAAGATATAAAAATTACATTTTTTGTCAAGAATCAACAACAAGTGGGACACAATCGTGAAGTGGAACAACATTTATTGGATAATTTAAACTTTTTTAACAAATAAAAAACTGAAAAGTGGGACGTGCAATATTATTCGGCCCCCTTGCGCTAATACTTTGTAGCGCCACCTTTTGCTGCAATTACAGCTGCAAGTCGCTTGGGGTATGTCTCTATCAGTTTTGCACATCGAGAGACTGGAATTCTTTCCCATTCTTCCTTGCAAAACAGCTCGAGCTCAGTGATATTGGATAGAGAGCATTTGTGAACAGCAGTCTTCAGCTCTTTCCACAGATTCTCGATTGGATTCAGGTCTGGACTTTGACTTGGCCATTCTAACACCTGGATACGTCTATTTGTGAACCATTCCATTGTAGATTTGGCTCTATGTTTTGGATCATTGTCCTGTTGGAAGATAAATCTCCGTCCCAGTCTCAGGTCTTTTGCAGACTCCAACAGGTTTTCTTCCAGAATGGTCCTGTATTTGGCTCCATCCATCTTCCCATCAATTTTAGCCATCTTCCCTGTCCCTGCTGAAGAAAAGCAGGCCCAAACCATGATGCTGCCACCACCATGTTTGACAGTGGGGATGGTGTGTTCAGGGTGATGAGCTGTGTTGCTTTTACGCCAAACATCGTTTTGCATTGTGGCCAAAAAGTTTGATTTTGGTTTCATCTGACCAGAGCACCTTCTTCCACACGATTGTGTCCCACTTGTTGTTGATTCATGACAAAAAATTTAAATTTTATATCTTTATGTTTGAAGCCTAAAATGTGGCGAAATGTTGAAAGGTTCAAGGGGGCCGAATACTTTCGCAAGGCACTGTAGGTGCAGATTAAAGGGGACGTGCTATGGACTGTGTTGTATAGTTCGAGCCTTTTCAACTTGTGGCCCAGGGACAAAATCAGGCCCTGCGAAACATCTAACGCAACCTTCAATATTAGACAGTGAGCTTTAGTTGGATCTATAGCATGTCTATCTTTGGGAGCGGATCCATCTCTCAATGTGGGCCTCCCTAAGGTTTCTTACCCCTTATGGACCGATGGCTTTATGTGTTGTTTATCATTGCATTTTTTGTGTTCAAAATCTCTTCGATCCATGACTCAAAAAGATTCGGGAGCTCTGGTCTATAGAAACCAGAGAAGCTCAAATTACACCTAACAGTGTCAGATCTATTGAACAATTCTACACGGACTCCCAACAGCGATAAGAAATGAAACAATTCCTCCCACGACTGATACTTTGAACTCTCGTCGCACCGATAAGTGCGATAAGTTGTCGATAAGTTATCAGTGTCCTTGTGCAGTCGTATACTGGGAGCGGGCCGCGTAGGAAAGTTAGCCATTTAATCCTATGGAGAAAAGGCCCTAATCTTTTGCATTTGTGCTTCAGTCCCTAGTGAACCAGAGCCTGCACTGTTGTAATTATATGGTGCATGTGTTGGATATAGGAGAAAAGCGGCGCCCGGAGGAAACCCACACTCAGACACGGGGAGAAACATACAGTAGAAACTCTTACTCTACAC